GTATGACTCATTGCCTTTGCAGTCCACTTAGATCAGACACCAAAAGCAAATTACCAATCCATCATTTCTTGACCGAATCAGTTACTTTTCTTTTTCAGTTTCTGGAACAGTCTCCAAAAGCAGCAAGGGTACTGCTGAAACCAGTAATCAAAAGACTAGCTAGCCATCCTGTCGACCGGTAGTTTTCAGGCCAAGCATTTGGCTCAGCAAATTGGAAAAGAAAACAGAGCAAGGACCTGCCTGAGTGAGAACCAGTGTGTCCCATTTATTTCACATGAGAAGACACACGAAGGATTGATGCCTATCTAAGAATATCCACCCCAGAGCTCTTGAATTCGCTTTCCAATATGCTGCAGAGCATAATGCCATTTGGAGGTATATTTGAAACAAGAGAACAACCTCCCAGGCTGTGTTTTTGCCTCAGTGTTGCAGAATTAGAAGCCTGGAAAGGTGAACAGCCTCCTGTCTGCCTCCACCTTTCCATATGAGTGAGCTGATGGACGGCCCAAAGAGACAGCTGGGACTGGGGAGCCTTCATGGGGCCTCCCACCTGTGCTGCAATCATATGCAAAATGTCAGAGGCCCCCAATGAGCATCAAGCTGTACCTTCTGTGGCAAGCATCCCAATGGCCCTCCACAGCTGAGGGCAGCAGGAGGCTGTACTTCCTGTGGCCTTACATGGTACACAGGGCTGAGAATGGATCTGACAGATGTGAAATTCTCCATGTCATTGGACCTTGCCAAGTGCCTCCTATGCTAATTTCTCCCACGCCCTCCACCTCTAGCACCTCCTCCCCTCCCTCAGTATCTTTCTCTCGTTTCCAAATCCTCTGGACTTTGACTTATTAACAACTTTGTCTATTATTAAAAAATAGATTAAAAATGATCAAACTATCTAAAGAGGCATGGTCCAACATGGTAGCCACTAGCCACATGTGACTATTTACATTTAAATTAACTAAAATTAAATAAAGTTAAAAATCTAGTTCCTTGGTCATTATAGCCACATGTCAAGTGTTTGATGGCCACATGTGGCTAATGGCTACCATACTGGACAGTGCAAATATAGAGCATGACCATTATCGTAGAGAGTTCTATTGGATAGCTCTGGTCTAAAGGATATAAAGAAAATGTCTCCCTCTTTCTTCTGTCCCCAGTCCCCCTCCCAGAGGCGACCCTGCTGCCAGTCTCCTTTGTATCCTTGCAGAGATTATTTTATATGCCTGAACAAGTGTGTGTGGATGCAAACCTCTTTTGTTAAAACAAATAGAAAAGACCCTAAACACTATTTTGCTCCATGCTTTCTTCACTTAAATTAAACTTGGAGATCACAATGTAAGTGTACAAATACTGCTTCATTCTTTTGAGTGGCCTCATAGCAATGCACTGTCCCGAGCACAACCATCACCACCCCACCCTCTGTGTGCCAGACTACCTTCCCTCCCTTCCCTCCTACTACCCCCAGTCTCCACATCCTCCAACTCTTTTCTGACTCTTCCCCTCACCTCTTGCCTTAATAAAAACCTGGCTGTTCCCTGAGGAAACTGCCTTCCTGATCTTTGAAGTGGAGGCAGGGTTTTCACATTCTCAAAGCCTATCTTCCTCGTGGTGAATCCCAAAGAAGTTCTCTGGCTTCCTCCCTCAATACTCCCAGTCACCCTCAGACTAAACCCACTACACCTCCTATCGTTACCTCCAACCTCCTGGCCCCTCTCCTCAGTCGTTGAGGACAACAGCACCTGCTTCACTGCCCTCATCTCCTCCCTGAATTCTGTAAGCACTCCCGCAATCCCAGGTGGAACATCCAGCCAACACCTGGCCTCACACGTCCCTAACCTTTTGTCCTCACCTGACCTCAGCCACCACTCCCACCCTAAATCCACACCAATAAACCAATCCCCTGTGAAATCCTTGTTTTTAGCATCCCACTCTGAGATTAGTGCCCACACCAACAATTGCCAACCTAAGCAAGCAAGACTTCTAATCCATGATGACTATTCATTAACCTGGCCATTGTCATTGTGCTAAGTGAAATAAACCAGTCACAAAAGGACGAATACTATGATTCCACTTATATGAGGTACCTAGAGTAGTCAAATTCATAGAAACGAAGTAGAATGGTGGTTGCCAAAGGCTGGGGGGAGAGGGAAAGGGGAGTGGTTTAATGAGTATAGAGTTTCAGTTTTGCAAGATGAAAATGTTCTGGAGATCTGTTCCAAACAATATGAATACGTTTAACACCACTGAACAATTCACTTAAAATGTTTAAGATAGTAAATTTAATGTTATGCATTTTTTACCATAATAAAAAATTGCAAAACAAAATGATTGAGGCTCCACTCTGTGGTAGTGCTGAAGGCATGCTCTCTTCCTGTGAGCATCAAGCACCCCATCGCATCCACAGCCAGGAGGCAAGGCTGAGAAAGGTTTCTCTCCTCTCAGCATTGAAAATTCCAAGCTCTAGGTTCTTTCTGAAGCTTAGAGTCAACTTAGGAAAAATTAAAGGAATTAACTACAGACCCGTTGACCGCTATTCTTCTCCAGCAACTAACTGAAAACCAATGGTTTTTCTAGCTCTGCCTCTCATAATTCATTCATACTCATTAATATGCAAACATCAGTTTCTCAGCTGGCAGTGATTTCATGAATTTTTAATTTACATGGGATGAGCAAGAGATTAAAAAACTTTAAAGCTGACAATAGAGAGGATTTGAGTGTCATTTTAATCCCTAGATTAAGAATCTTCAAATGAATTCATTGGCATCATCATGTGAACTATCATCTGGGAATTATCAAAGCAACTCCTCTATGAGTTTTTGCCTTTTGGGTATATTAATAAAGATACACATTTTTTTTTAATGGTACCTGTTTTGGGATCATTAAAAACAGTGAAACCAAAGACATTTCTTGTCAGCAGTCTTAATCTTGGAAAAACTCCAGGCCACCTGGTAAATGATCACAGAAATCCCAACACTAGAGAAAAGCAACAATAATTTGTAGATTTGTGAATAACATGAAAGAAACTCATTTCAGCATAAAGGAAAACAGATAAAAAAGCAAATTAGAAGAGAGAAATTGAGAAATACTGAACTCAATTTCTTCTGGAAATGCCAATCAAATTCTGGATTACTAATTCTAAAATAAGAAAAGGCAGAGGGAAGAGCTTTCTCTTGAGGGTGAGACCCAATAGAATTATAATATAAGCCATATATGTAATTTTAAATTTCTAAAAGCCACATTAAAAATGTAAACAGAAGCAAGTAAATTTAACTTTAATAGTTCATTTAATCCAATATACCCAAAATATTCTTATATCAATACGTAATCAATATTTTAAAAATTATTAATGAAACGGTTATATTCTTTTTTCTTAGTAAGTCTTTGGAATGTAGTGTGTATTTTATACTTACAACAGCTCTTTGTTTCCACCAGCTACATATAAGTGCTAAAATAGCCACTAGTGGCTACCATATTGGAGAGAACAACCACAGAATCAAAGAATGTATGTTCTTCTGACAGGACAGGGACTAGCTCTTGAAATTTAAGCATATCACTAGATCGCACTTTCTAGACTGTTCTTACTGTATTCTTCAACTAACAGCCAGCAACAGCTTGGGTGGAAGCATTAGCTGCTCCTTCAGCTAGACCAGTGTTGATTCAACTGTGATCATTATGGTACCATCATTTGAAATTTTACAAAATCAGTTCACTATGATTGTTTTCTTAATTTTTTTCAAACATAAATTGACGTTTTAGAAAATTAACCTTATCCTAAACAATATCATCTGTGATATCACAGATTTGATATTTTAATTATATTTGTTAAAAAAGCTAATGTACATTAAAACAAATATTTAACACTTAGAAGTTTTTGTGCTTTACCTAAAGCCAATAATGGACTAAATTAAAATTTGTTCTCATTTGCAAATCAGTTACAGTGTCATCTTTCAAAAGCTTTCCATTTGGCACACACAATCTCAGATATATTACTATCTGAGTCCTCTGCACCCAATATTTGTCTGCCATCAAAGGTACCTTCTGTCTGGGCACCACAAACCACAGCAAGGGGGCATTTACTCATTTGTATTCAACCGTCCAAAAGCTGCAGAGGTGGGGTAAAACTCTTGCCCTAATGACCAGTGGTGGTTCAGTACCAGGGGAGCCCCTTTAATAATTAATAATGATGGCAGCTGAGGTTTACTGAACTACATGCCAAACACTGTTCTAAGTTAATATAACATACATATTATACTACATTATATATTGTGTATATATAATATATATAAAAACCCTATGAAGGAGGTATTATTGTTTTCCTGCTTTTCCAGATGAGGAAACAAGCATAGAGCAGTTAGCAGCCTCCCACGGTCACAGAGCTAACAAGTGGTGGAGCTGAGATTCAAAGCCAAGAAATCTGACTCTGGAACCTGTGCTGTTATCACCCGGAGGATTACAAGTGAAATAAAGAGAGAGAAGCTGAAAAGATACGTTTATGGTCACAAACACAAATCCCTCAAAGACAAAATCATCACCCACAAGATGTGGAGACTGGGGCAAGCAATATCCTCTAATACAGAGAGGGATGGAAGACAAGCGGAATAATTTAGAATGCCTTCAAGATGTCTTCTGTAAATTACAGTGAAAACTCACCTTAGAAAGAAAGAAAAAAATATGAAAATTCAAGGCATAAAGATTCCAATAACACAAAGAGAAAGAGGATGGAAGGACGGATGGATTGACTGATGGGAGGATTGGTGGATAGACGGACAGATGGATAGACCAACAAGTGAGCATACAAATATTCACTCTAGACTCAAGAGCAGAGAGCGGGGAGAATTATAAAGGGACATCCCATCTCTCTGACCATTCTAAGCAATTTGGAGACCTTTTAGTCTCATCACTGGGACCAAAGCTGCAGGGTGAGCTCTGTTGAGAGCCTAATTATGTGGCCTTCATTTGCAAGAGTTCTGCAGTCTGGTGGAAGATAAAAACCCACTTACATGTATTCCCTATGGGCAGAGTGTACAGCGGCCGCATTGCTGTAACGCCACAGGACAATCGCCGATGACAGGACGTCGAGGACGGCATCAAACTAGGAGAAGGAGACACGGCATTAGTGGTTTTCCAAAGTTAACAGGGCATGACTGTGAAGACACAAGGCAACTGTTCTTTGACTCAGAACATCTGAGCGAATGACCTCAGAGCAAGGAGGCTTCACATCATTATGATGCAGGCCACTCTTCACCATCACAGCGCAACCTGGGAATCTGGAGCCTGGGGCACATGACATGCCGGCCTGGCGCCAGTGCCACCGCCCCTCCTCATACCTGACACTGCTCCCACAGCCTGAGAAACCACCCTCTGCGGTGTGGTAGGCTCTGCTCCCTGGTCCCCTGGCTGCCAGCACTCTGGAGATATTGGGGTGGGGGGGGGGAATTACACTGTTCTGACACATGTGAAATTGGTTTCCTCATAGCAGGCAAGATAATTTCAGCGTTTTCCTGTACATTCCAAGTAAAAGATTCAGGGTGAGGATTCTGGGTTTCTGGCTCTTGATGGGACTGTTCTGCCTGGGGCCCAGGGGTGAGGGTGGGGTCACCCAGGGGCTCTGGGAAGTCTACCAACACTTTGAAATTATATACGAGATTCCATGCTTTTGTTTGAATGAATGAGTGAATGTGTGAGAGAGAAAAAGAGAGAGAAAGAAGGAAAGAGGAGTGAGTGAGTGAGAGAGAGAGACAGAGAGACAGAGTGTGTGTGTGTGTGTGTGTGAGTGTGAGATGTGGGCATTTTTCTGGAGAGACAGCCCACACCTTTCAGAAGATTCTGAAAAGAATCTGCAACCCCCAAAACATTAAGTTCTCGCAACAAAGGGAAGAAGTGGATTTTGGAACAGGAACACACACCCTCAGGTACAGGAAACACTAAAGCTACAGGAAGGCTGTTGAGAGGAGCTCTCTGTATGAGTCACTGCACACGCCACACTTCTCATCTGGAAAGTTACAAGCACTAGCGCTCTCTTGAAGGGACCTGGGGAAACTTCACTCAAGTTTTCAACGTGCCTAGCCTGTAAAACACCTGAGACCCATTTTCTCTAACCAACTGCCATCAGGAACGAGGCTCGGAAGCCAGTTACCCCTAATTGGACTACAGACTGACTCATCCTTGCACCAGCAGCCCCCATCTTAGCTCCCAACACCTCTGCCTGCACCAACAGATGCCTCACTCCACAGTGTGCCCATTTTCAAACCTAAAACCTTGAGCGGGGGAGAAAGGGCTAAAGCGCTAAAACATCCTCTTAACCAGCTGTGGAAAATGTGGTCCCCTAACCTGTTCTTCAGCATTATATAGCATCGTTGCAGTTTACTTCTATTAAATTGTAATTTTTGACAGCTATTTCCATAAAAGTTCTGTTTGTCATGCTGAGCTCTCATCTGCTAACCACCCTTTTAATGAGAGCCCAGGATGAGATTCATGAGCTCAGGAAAAACGTGCAAAACTTCATAAAAGTACATTTCAGATTACTTACTGCAAACCCAAAAGCAGAGGCGCTGTACCTCATAACGGAGACAGCTAAAAAGAAAGAAAATATTATTCAGAATATTTTAAGACCTCATGGATATTTTCTCTCATTTGTGAGTATATTAATATACTTGATATGGTCCTTTAAACATCAGTGGGCAAGTTCCAAGAGAATAAAATTAAAAATTAACTGCACTTGTAAAATCTGAGAACCAAAAAAGGTAGAGTGAAGTGAAAAGATTCCAGACTCCACCTCTGACGACTTCCCTTCCCAGTGTGTTCTGAAGCACCGGCGGGCCAGCTTCAGAACGAAAATGCTTAAGCAGTTGTCAGTCAAATGACTGCTGAGACTTTGAGAATTTAGCAACTGGGAATAGAGAAACTTAATAAACTTTCATAGCGAAAGTGCAGCCATCCACACTGTTCCCATAATAAGATAATTAGTGGTGGTATCTACACGCACGTGTCATTGCTAACACACAGTTGAAAAAAATCTCTTGCCCATCAGAGCTTAAAATCCAGTGTAGACCTCAATAAAACTGTTTAGAAAAACAATAAGAAATGATCTTAAACAATACATTGTTACATCTACATTTGTAGATGTAATAATTATAATTAAAATATTTATCCATATTCAAAAATCTCTCTACCTTTTTTGAGGCAAGTCTGTTGATAGCATTTTGCCTAATTCTGTGATCTGTTCTGTGCCGAAGCAATGTCCAGCTTCAAAGACTGTTCTCAATTTGACTTAATAAAGGCAGATCTCCAAATAAAAGCCATATTTAGGGAGCATACATCCACCCTCCAACAAAGATGAAGCCCTACCCAATGGGTCTGCAAAGCTTTGAAGCAGCTTTTTCCCGGCACAAGTGTTGCAAGCGCTCACTCATGGAGTAAGAGAGGTGTGGCGTGGGGCATAGAGGTCAATATCCACTTGGACTCCCACTCCGCTCACCACATGGCCCTTCTCTGGGACTCACTCCCTGTCCTGGACACAAGGTCCAAGAATGGGCCCTGGACAGCCATATTGTGCTTTGTACCTCTGCCCCCAGCCATAAGGGGCTCATCTGAGCCACTTCAAACCAAGCATATTTCATTTTCTATGAAGTAGGAATTGAGACTGAGAGTCTAGTTGGTCAATTTATGTTGTTGGAACTGAAACCTGTAAACACTGGAGCTAGGGTTGGCCATTGTTTGCTATAAAGACCGAGGAGCAGAAAGACAAGCATGAGTAAAACACAGCTCTGGGGCAAGAGAGAACCACGTTCCTGAAGTTTCTAAGCCCTTCCTGAGATGCAGGCACATCCCAATCCTCAGGCTGTGTAAGGCAAATGCGATCCATTAAATTCCTGACCTTCTTTGTTTGTGACATGAGCTGCTCCAGTTATCCCTGCTGTTGCTCTTACTGGCAAAAGGAGGACAGACCAGCTGTGTGCAGTGACCAGCTGTAGCTTTCATGGGCAACACAGGTGTGGCGGTGCAAAGGGGCACCAGACCTTCCCGAAGACATTGGCCTGTGCAAAAAAGGCAGCACCCAGATCCCTCGAGGGGTCGCCCTGAGCACCAAGATGCCCTATAGGACACTGAGCCTGTCTTGCTCAATAACCATTAATTAGACTTAATAAAATTTCATAGAAAAAAATCGAAATGTGTATCCTTACAACTGGTTTTTAGAATATTTTGGCAGTGTGCTTTTTGTGGGTTACTTCTTTATCAGCAGTGGAAATCTTTTTAACTCCTGCTAACATCCTGCCCAGATGGGCAATATACACACCAGATAAAGAGCTGCCCACCTGGAGCCCCTGCTCTGCTCTACCTGCACTCTCTGGCCCGGGCACCATGGGATGGAGGGCACAGCTGGAAAAGCCCTCCACTCGCCATCACAGAGAACCGCCTGCTTTCCAAGCAGTAAACCATTACTATAAAAAGATTTAATCTAGATATTTGGTAATACCAGACATTTATACAGTGGGCTACAGATTTCAAAGAGGTGGGCGCCCACTTGATTATATGGAGAAACACAAGAAACTTTGCCCCAGAGACTCTGGAATCCAACAAAGGAGATGGTCACTGAATGGTGGGGTTTCCCTGACTCAATTGGAGTCAATGTCCATGATTTCAAACACTCTCAGAATTATACTGGAAAGTTCTGCTTGTGTGAGTGAGTTAAGCCTGCCCAGTGGATGAATAACTTAGAGCACAAGTGGAATATTAATACTGTTCTATCCCCCAGGCACCAAGGAAAATGTAAGCAAGAGGGCTCCAGGTTAACCCAGAGCTCTGCACAGAAGGGAGGGATTAATAGGAATCATTTCCTCATAAATTGGCTCCATCTAATTTCCTTGATGAGATGAAAAGGGAGAAAATACCAAAAATTGCATGGGGAATCTAGGTACACTGAAGGGCCCTCTGCACGGCTTTGGCTCGGGCAGCTTCCCTTTGTGAGCAACTCCTCAGTTCTTAAAATGAAATAGCAGCAAACAGTCATTAGCACAGGACCCAAATGGAAGAGGTCAGTGGCCTTTTAGGAGTTTCTGAAGAGTGTCAAGTGATAACTTTATTTTCTTTGGCCTGTAACTGAATGTGACACATCCTAATTCTGGGATGAGAAGGGACTCCAAAGAAAGGGTGGGATTGGTTTAGATAGCCCCTGCTCCCACGGAAGGAGCAAAGTGTGGGGTTTTCACCAGGATGTTTCCAACTTCCCTCACACTAAGATAGGGTTCCACTTGGAGAACAGCATGCCTGGGCCAGGATCACCCATCGAGGCAGAGGTTACAAGGTAGGTGCCCAGGAGCCCCACACATACTTAGCGGAGGGTAGCTGAAAGCCACCACAGGTCCAATAAAAGTCCAGCAGTGCCTTTAAGGCAGGTGCAAATTCAACAGCGGACCACAGACAAGGGACCTTCTGACCTCAGACAATTAAGCTGCAAGCTTGCATGTTCCACGAGACAGGCAATCGGGCAGCCGTGAAGCGGAGCTCTCCTGTGAAGACTGCTCTCGGTCAAGGCAGGGGTCACAGAGCTGGAGGTAATGAAGTCACCTCAGCTGTCAGCTCGTGGTGCAGGGCCTGTTTAACAAACACCACGGCTGCTCTAGATTGGAGCGTCCAACTGTCAGAATCCTCCAGATCCATCTGGATAGCATGGCTATCAGAATCCCGTAGGGAAATTTTCAAGAATATTTCTTCTCCTCACATTTAGAACTTGTCTCCATCACTCATAACTGAAATGTGCACTCGGGGAGCCTACAAGGCATACAATTACAGGCCATCATTCCCCTGGGAGCTGAGGCCTCAGTTTCCCACCTCTTACTCTCTCATGGTGAGAGCAGAGGGAGACTGCCATCTGATTAGGCTGGCCTCAGACACCCAAAAATTCATGCTTAGGATGCAGCTAGACTCCTCTCACTTTCCATGTTGTCTTTTTCTTTTTCATTTTACTGAGACATAGAGTCCTTAAAATGTTCATAAGTAAAATGAAGATCTATAGTTTGGGGCCTGCCCAGCATCCATTCCCCATTTGGGAAAGGAACACCCTAATTCTCCTCTGGGGAATGCTACACCTCCCCCACCCTCACACTATGTGGTTTGAGAGGGATGAAATTATTATCCCTACTCTAGTATATCCTTGTCCCATGGCCAAAATTAGTGATTCAAAGATGGCACAATTTGATGTGATCCATGAGAACCTGTCTTGAGTTTTTGCAAAAAATATTGGGAAGAGGATGTCTTTCAAAGAGGTGATTGTAGAGCTGGTAGCATAAAAATAGGAGCTGCAGGTAACAATTTTGCCCTAAAGGGGGAGAGGCTGCCTCCGAATGAAGCCAACACAGAGGAAAGCTGATATTGAAGATAAAAGATATAAATCAAACCTCTGATGACATGGACTGAACCTCTGGAATCAGCCCTACCTGAAGTCTATGCTTGTATTTTTCAAATACGTCAGCCAATAATTCCCTTTAATTTGCTTAAGCTAGTTTGAGTTGAGTTTGCATCATTTGCAGCCGATGAGTCAATATAATACACCTTGACCCAGCGATCTCATGTCCAAGAACCTCTTTTATTGCCTAAGAAATGAAAAAATACTTTATATACAGAAGGTTCACAGTAGGTTTATGCAATTTATAGTAGCAAAACCCTGGATGCAATGTAAATATCCAGCAGTAGGGTGATGATTAAAGTATGGTCCATTAAAAAAATAAGCTAGAAGTAGCTATTTAAAAATATTTACAAAGAGTGCTGTTGGTTAATGCTTATAGTAGCATATTAGTTAGAATAATGATATTGATAATAAACAAAAGTGGCATGTTTCATGCCATCAGTACCTGGTGCCACGGGAAAGGATGGGTCTGGGTCAGGAGGCATTCTGGCTACTATAGGTGCAAACTTAATGGGGAGGTCAGAAGAGGGTTCACTGAGAATGTGACATCTGAGCAAAGAAGGTGACATCTGAGCAAAGACTTAGAGGAGATGAGGGAGTGAGCCATGCAGTCACCTAGAGGAAGAACCTTAGTGCAAAGGCCTGAGGTGGAACGCCTGGCACGTGTGAGGCCATTTTGTCTGAAGCAAAAGGGAACAAGAGGAAACTTACGTGAGATAATAGATTTCTTTATTGTTTGAGCAAAAAATTAGGTAGAAAAGGGCAAAATATAAGATGATATATGTGATATAACTAGCTTTACAGAACTATGTTTTTAAAAAATGCATTGAAGCTGTAGTCTACACAGGAATAGAAATATAATGATGTACTCCTGGAATTTATATGTTATAAACCAATGTTACTTCAATTTAAATAAATAAATAAATAAATGCATTGAAAACCATTAGAAAAAAAGATCCCTCAAATGATAACAGTGGTTAATCTCTGGTGGGTGGGAATATTTGGGTGGATTTCTTTCCTTTCTACTTTTTTGTATTTTCCACATTTTCTACAACCATCCTATATAACCATTCAAATCAGAAAAAGAAATATATTTTACTTGAAGAAAAGAATCACCCCACTCATAACAATATAGTCAAAGATCTAAAACAGAATAGCAGAAACCAGA